GGGGGGGGGGGGGCGCACGTAATAGAACTATATTTCAAGTATAAATAAAACTATTTTTACATGTTTTATACTGTATTAATTTTGTCACACCATTGTAGTAACGATGGTAATAATGACAAATTTATAACTATCGACATTTGTTCAAATTATGTATTTCTACTAATCTTGGTGTACCTCACAGCGCCACGGTCAAGTTGAGTGCCGGTCACCGGTGGCCCCCATAGCACTCAACGTGTTAACGACTGGTCCCGGGCCGGAAAACTTTCTTATCGCGTTATTGCGTGGGAGAGATATATAAAAATTTTGTTTCCGCCATCATACGCAACGGACGTACTGCGAAAAGAACGCGAATATTTGTATTGAAAATAATAGAGGAATCGTTACGGAAATGGGGAGTTCGATACATTCGATATTCACATGGCCTCAGCCGAGCCTTGCAATTCGAAAGCGTCAAAAGTTGGGGCTAATTAGAAACTGTGGATAGAATTTAAAGTAATTGAGACAGGAAAGAAGAATTAAAAATCTAAGCAACTAAATGGAAGACATAAAATATAACGCAAAAGACAACGATGTCAACATGTCTAGCAAGAATGAAGAAAGCGATCAGGATGTAACAGCAGATACAGAAACATCGAGAAAAAGAATTCTAGTCGAACGATTTCTACCTTTACCTGCAACCACGAAAAATTTACGCTCACTCCAAACAGAAATAATATCAACGTATGAGACGTTGGGAGAAACATCAACTATAAAATGGTTAATAAACGATAAGTTCACAACTCCAGATGGATTTGAAGTATTACAGAATATCTCAGGACAGAAGAATTTCTTGCAAATGTGCCTCAGGAAAGAATATTCAAACAGTTGCTAACAAAAACAAACTCCTCCCACCTGTCTTCATAGACGATCATATATCATCGTTAACGGATTTATTAACACGAGTGATGAAGGTCTCGTATACATTAAAAACCATTGGAAACCAAATCAAAATTCAGACACTTTATCCTGATACATATCGTACTGCAATATAATCAGTATTTTCAAAAGAAAAGATGCAAGAGGAAGCTACTACACGTTTCAACCTCGCAAAAGGGAGCTATAAGGCTGTTTTTTCGACCATTCACGGAAAAACGCAATCGCGAGGAAGCGCGCCAACGGGAGTCATAAATTCTCGTTACGATTAGACAATCGACGCCACGAACTGATCGATCCCCTATTTCGATTAGGATAATAGAAGTGATTTAACGAGTAGAATACTTGATTAACAGTTCAAAGATATTATAGATTTCCAACAACTTTGTAGAGAAGCTAGTTACGCTGGTGCGTAAGGTATAAGTTAAGTAGGTGACTGATTGAAGGGTAAAAACCCGGTAAAGAGACGTTGACTGTTCTAAAGATGATGAACCAGCCAAGTTCGGTGACGATGCTGTCGCAAAAGAAAATTCTCGCTCGGTGGTGATCGCACTACCATTGGTCGCTTGCGGGTGGAACACCCACGTTTCCCTAATTTTTACTCGATGAAGCAATAACCATAAGGAAGCTCTTGATTCGAAGATTTTTTATGCCAATTGACGGCCTTAACGGCAAATCAAGAAGCCTCGTTTTATGACAGTTCCTTAGGTTTATCGCGATCCGCTTAATTCTATGTGCACAGCTGGTGGCCGCCTCGAACGTAAAGAGTCACCGGACGTAACAAAGCTAATTATTAAGGATCTCCACAGAGCGCAAGAGTTAGAGCAACAAGGATATGCAATCTTATACATAAGCAATGTAATCAGGAAAAGAACTACTAAACTGTTTCTGTGAAGGTAAAGAAAGGATTCGGAAATACAAATCGTTTAGTTTATTTTACACACAACAGCTATACAATATATCTTACACTCTGAAGACCTCGACAACCTTCTTGCACGCACGCTTGTTCTCAACCGACTCTTTCAGATTCTTCTAACATCTGGCAACAGTCTTTTGTCTCCACTAAGACCTGGACGCCCTCTAACGCTTACACACACATTCACACGTACAGTGTAAATGTATCATCTACCCAACAGTTTCCCATATTTACAATAGAACTTGCTTCAGTTCAATCTTTCTTATTACTAAAGTTGCACACGCAATGATGCAAGTGGAACTATCTAGACAACCAATATCTTACGCAGTGCTCCAGATGCCAACACATGGGCACACATACACACACGCGTGCGCGCACGCACAGTTATTATAACCTGAATACAGACGCAGAAAATGTTTTCGTGCATATCCATCCAAAAATTGTTCAAGTACGTACAGATTAAGTAAATCGGTATGCGTCAATTATAGTTGAGCACAGCCAATCAGATATAAAGGTCGCCAGATGAGGGAAAATCTAGTTAGAAAAACAATACCAGAAAGGTCAAGATAACTTGATTTTTCGCGAATAAATAAATAAACAAGATGAAGAAATAATAGGGGAACATTTGCAGACATAACAAATACCAATTCTAAAGATACATCGAGAACACAGAATTTAGTCGAAGAAACTTTTCCGGAACAAAATAACAACTTTAATGACATGCATATCGCGATTCAGAAGCCAACAGATAAGATAACCTCATTCATGAAATGATAAATCGATTCAGTACGTTCATGCAGTTATTAAGTAAAATCATCTCCCACGATGAATAGATTCAAACTAGTGGCGTAGAATTATGATGAATCACAAACCTAAATGGAAGAACTTCAAATATTCTTAATCATCCATGATATCGACCTATTGCAAGAGACGCAGAGGCAGACAGATCATATTTTAAAATACCAAGATTCCAGATATACGTTATACAAACGATGACAGGCAAAATTAGAGACATATCGGCTGTCATAATCAAAAAAAAAGAAAAGAGATTATACATTTTTATTTATTATTTCTTAGTACGTGCCTTTCAGCTTTGGACGAACTTTCGGTTTTGCATCTCCTATGTCTGTTTCTCTTCTTATATATTTACATCCCCTCTTTTCCACTCTATTCTATTGCATTCCCTTAATTATTCTATCTCTAAAAACTAAAACTAGAAACTACAAATTAACAACTAATGACTAAAAACTATTGCAACTTTGGTCCTTAGCCTCCTTGCTGTGCTTCTTTCCTGTCGTTTGCCCTTCTATTCTCTATTATTACTTTCAGTTTTGTTAAATCTTCTCCAGTCTCGTTTAGCGTTTTTCCTATGTCCTTTGATCCTCCCGTTATTTCACATTCTTCTATTACGTGTCTCAGGTCTTCTTCTTTCCTTTTACATAGCCTGTATCTTTCTTCTCCCTCCTCTTTCCAGTATTTCTTTGCTTTAGTCTCGTTTCCACGTCTGAATCTTGTTAACATTTTTCTGTCCTTCCACTTCATCCTCCCTTTTAAGTATTTTGGTAACAAAGGAATTATTAAACCAATAAATGCTAAGAGATCATCAGGTTAGAATTTAATTTCAAGGACCTTGTTGTAACATCTATCAACTAAAGCAATCAGATTTATAACGATACTGTTCAGCTCAATACTGCGGAGGGATACTATCCTATACCCTGAAGACGTGTTCGAATAATGCTAATTCCCAAACCAGGAGAACCTTTCGCCATACCAATAAATTACGAATTAATCATACTTCACCCAATCGTGTCTAAATTCGTCGGAAGAACAGTACACGCAAAAATGCTGCAAGAATATCAGAAAATCATATCCAATTGGGTTTCAAAAAGCATCACGGAATGATAACGCAAGTTCGAAAACTAGCGATGAAAGTGCTAAAGGTCTTCCAAGACAAAAATGCTACAACTGAATATTTTTAGATATGGAGAAAGCTTTCAATAAAATACCACGTGATAAATTCATCGAAAATCTAAAAGAAAAATTGACAGCAGACATCTCATCAATTTTGATCAACTGCCTGGTTTCTTCGTTAAAATTCTAAAGGAAATTACCGAAATGGGCGAATACATATCCAACGTGTCTCGAGGCAGTACTACGACTCACTTGTTTCAACATCAATTTTAATATACACATCAAATCCATGTAAAAAAATGTAGTATAATATTCTTACCTTCGTTGATGACATCATATTTACCTACTCTAGAACAGATCACAGGTTAAGAAATTATAACAAATGTTGGAAATCATCATCGACCTCGCATGGAAACAGCATATACATAGAATCAGACAAAAAGCAAATGGTACACTGGTTAAATTCTGGTGGCTGCTCAAAGGAACATCACAATTTAACCTTAAATCTCGTACATTATTGTACAAAGCCATGATTAAGCTACTATGGAATTGTATTGTGGACTGCGGCAGCTATCCCACCTAAGTTCAGAGCAGTGAGAAAAATACTAAACGTTTAGTGGTGCGTAAGAAGAGATAATATGAAAAAGGCCCTCGAGCTTAAGTCAGTAGAGGAAGTTGCTATTGTACAAAGCTTTAAAACTATCCAAATCCTACTGTGTCTCAGACTGTTTTCAGAAATTCCAATAGGTAAGAAGAATTAAGATAAAACATCCTTTGGACAACTATCGTTCTACCGCTCCAGGTCGCTGAACTGAAGAAAACAGAAAGACGAGATAGCATACAACTAGTAAATAAGCTCGCTCAAAACATTGTAACGGTAAAAGTATATTTAAAAAATGTAGAAATTCTCGTATAGTGATTAAATACAGAATAAACGATATAATATAGAAGGAAAAAGAGCAGAAATAAGAAACGATAGAGAAACAGTAGAGAAAGAACACGAAGGAGAAATTGGATATTGAAAGGGTTTGGTCGTCAAATGTGCAAGATCGAGGATAACCAACCGCGAGCAAATCCTGAGAAAGCAAGCAGAGGACGAATAAGTTTAAGAATGTACGGGGAAGAGAAAGTTTGGCGAAAAGAGGCTTTTCTAGTTTCTGACAAGGACGTGATGGCAGTGACGTAACTGCCACAGTGTCAGTTTAAAGGAATGCAGATTTTTTTTCGCTCATTCGATATTTTATGATTTAAGGGAAGTTTATGCGTGTACCATTTGCTTGCATTGGAACTTCAAACTATGTTATTGTGTAATTAGCTGGCAATTATCGAATTCATTTTTGTTCTGCAAAAGATCATAAAATTAGTTCGATATTAATGGAATTTTTGAAAATAAATTACCATTTATCTAACCCACTTTAGCTATAAAATCATCATGCTGGAAATGTTTTGAGTATATTTACATGGAAAAACGTGTGTGTAAAATAATCTTTAAATTTGTTGCAGCCATTGTTCAACTCGTTCTCAGTTTCTCCTACAATTACCATACATGATTGAACGATTATATAATTAATGTTGATAGGGTTAACAGAAATATGATTTTGAGCTGATTGTTTAGATAGTAGAATATACCTGTCGGTTAATTAAGCATTGCGACACGCGATGTTTAACAAAGCACACGATCTATGGCTATAAATCGTTGAGTATGATATATACTCATTATTACGATGATTATGTATGATGATTATAAAAAACAATTCATATATATGTTTCTTTGTATGTTTATCGTGCATGCGTGTATAAAGTATATATACACACAAGATAAACGTACAAAGAAAAAATCATTTACCTATTTCATAAATTAAAGTAACAGGTAGAGTACGTTCCATTTTAATCTCTAAATGAATTTATCTTGAAAATGAATAATTTCAAAAATTTTAAAAAGAATAAATATTGAGAATTGTAATGTTCATAATAAATTTTGTTAATAATGAATACATTCTTGTACTCAAATTGATGAAAATTTTGTAGAGTACTATCAAGATATGTCACTACACCTTTTCTTTATCTTTTCTTTTCTAGCAATCGATAAATTCTTTAAACTTATTACTTGAAATAACTTTGCAGTGACTAGTTGCATAAACAAAAGAAGTATTTGCAAACGGCTAGCACGGTTTATGATACGAAACTACTAAAGCTATTTTTGAGCAAGCCAATTAGCTTCCAATAGCTCTCCTTAATGTATCATTTCTTTAATGTACTCGAATTTTTAAATTGCTTGTGTCGCTAGCAACAACGTCCTAGATTTTTGCAAAGCGTCCACAATACAAGACCAGGTGGTCACGATCTGCTGTCACAAATTTGGGGCTCGAGAGAAATCCCGTTACGTTGTCAACTTCCCTCCGGTAACACTACTCTTACCAAATCGTATCTAAAAACAAAAACAAACAAACAAAATCCTGTTAAAAGTACACAGCGCGGGTAGCATGATTTGGCGCGCGGTCGAAAGCAAATATTGATTAGCTAATTCTTACCTTAGTGGTAGCTAATTAAAAGTACTCCCAAAGTGCACAAAGTTTTTCACGAGAAAGTACAAACAGAGCAACTTAAATAACGTAGAGCCTTCGACGAGTACAGAATATTGACACTTGGGTGTAAAAATAAAATATTGAGAAACTGAACGCTGTGGTTTAACATAACACGGATCCAACGATCCCTTCAACTTCTTTATACAATAATTAATATTAAATAAATTTTCGCTGACAAGAAACAGGTCTTAGATAAAATATTTATTCAAGTTTAAGTTAACATAAAGTTATAATAAAAAATACGTAATAATTTTGTCTACTATTCACAAAAAATACAGGGTGGTTGGTAACTGGTGGTACAAGCGGAAAGGGGGTGATTCTAGGCGAAAAAAGAAGTCGAAAATATAGAATACAAATTTTTCGTTCGAGGCTTTATTTTCGAGAAAATTTTAGCTCGGTACGCGTGTGGTACGTTATAACGGATCTGACTGTAGATTTTTGTCTCGATGGAAAAATTAAAAAAAAATTTTAAAAACAAATTTTTATTCTATATTTTCGACTTCTTTTTTCGCGTAGAATCACCCCTTTTCCGCTTGTACCACCAGTTACCAACCACTCTGTATAATAAAAGAATATTAGCTTTCAGCACTTTATGTAAATGAATTGTAAAACACTGAGAGATTGTACTAATTACTTTTATAAGAAACAAGATAAAAATTTACATTTGATAGGATGTTTTGCTATTTTATACTCAGTCTTTATCTCCTTATTATTTTATACTCAATCAATTTTTTTATAAATTAACTATTTTCTGTCCTTCTTAATACGAAAAGAATAAATTAATTCGATCATTAATGCTTAGCTACAAAAAAAGTTATCACAACTAGGACCTATTTTTCTCGAAAAGTTCTTTTTTCTTTTTTTTTTATTTGGTAGACTATTTACAATCAATTCTCATTGAGAATTATAAGTAAATTATTTTGGCGTGGTACTGTAACTTGGATTATAATAGTTTATTACTATAAACTATTGATTCTAGCTGAACCTATGTTTAAATCTAGAGGATAATATCTTTTTAGCCTGCGGATCTGATCCATCGTGTCAAGTAATTGAGTAACTAATGGGTTTTGGTGGTTGTTAACTCTTATGTTATACCTGTTACTGAATTTGGATATTTCTTCTTTAACTGTGAGTATCTTAAGGTCTCGATGTATCGTTTCGTTGGTAACGTACCTGGCGCATCTATCAAGGATCTTAGAGTTTTCGATTGGAATCGTTGAAAAATTTCTATGTTGCAATTACTCGCTGTTCCCCATGGTTGGATCCTATAGATCCAAACATGTTTTAATATGACCTTATATAGCATTAGTTTACTCTGCACGCTTAAGTTGTAACGTCTGTCAATGAGCCAGTAGTTTCGATTTAAGTTGTTTGGATTTATCTACGATGTGTCGTTTACTGTTTTCTGACACCGAAACACTCTGCGTTGTCGTCTCGATGACCTGCGGAATGTTCGCTAGTCCACCATGTTGGTTTTTCTATCGCTTGTAGAGGATGGTTGGTCGCGTGGTAGTTTGAATGACGAGATTGCTCGATGTTGATGCCGTCAAATATATTTGAAAATAATTATAAATACAGAGTCGACCGTAGATTGCTCGATACGGGTCGTTAAAAGAATGTTCGCTAAGACGCTCAGTACTAACTGATTCGCTAAAGATTGTGTGTTGATCGCTAATAAAATCGCTCGAGACTGAGACTGAAAAACTGGTCACCTTACGATCGTGCTCGTTTATTTATACTGGTCGAGGGGGTACCGGAAACTTTCCATTCGCCTTTGTTTGACGGTTACACGTAGCTGCGACATTGTTTTGTCCGGAGTTGGTTTATTATTACATTATGACTATCCTAACGATGTCGGTACTCCGAGGCAAAACAACAACGTGGCTCGAATTGTCCTCTTGCTCATGTGCCGCTACACGCTAATTTATGGCTAGGTGACAATTGAGTGAGCTTAAAGACCCTGCGTATGTATGCGAGGCTGTGAGAAATGTCTATTATAAATTATAACTCATAACTCAATAATTAAAAATGAATATCGTCAATGTATTACGTTTGGGTTTGGGTGCTACTCGGCTGTGAGAAATGTCTATTATAAATTATAAATTATAACTCAATAATTAGAAATGAATATCGTCAATGTATTACGTTTGGGTTTGGGTCCTACTAGGCTGCTCCGAGGCAGCCCAAACATTTGCGTAAAATAACAATAATTATTTTTCTCGTAAAATAATATCGATTATTCATTCGTCAACTATTTTTATGATTAACGTGTCATTATCTCAAGCAAGTAACGTCGACCGCCTTATGGCGCGGCAACAGGATGGGGAAGACTAACCCAACCCCAAATCCAATACATTGACGATACTCACTTTTAATTGAGTTATAATAGACATTTCTTGTTACCTCGCATATGGTGTTATGCACGGAGGCTTGTCGCGCATTATCGACCACTGGAGTAGACAGGGCTCGGCTGTAACTGTAAGAAATTTTAAGGGATGATTCTTGAAACGAAAATCAAGAATAAAAAAAAAATTGTGTCTTCGGCTTCGTTTTTTTGTTATTAAGAATTAAAAATCGGCCGAAATATTCCTGTGTGCGAGCAAATCTTCTTACATGAATGGAAGTAGGTCAGCTCAAGCAGCGTAGTACACAGCGATTCTCAAATCAAACGATACATGGGCAGTGTCACGTCGGAGACGCAAGAAATCACGAGACCGATAGATCACCGGTGATCTTGTCACGTAAACTTGACGGTTGGATGATAAAATAAAATAGCCGAGTCGCAACACAACTATCAATTTTGCTTTTATTAACACGCAATGGAATATACACTGAATTAACACATATAAATCATGATTCACTCCAACAACTTTATGTAGAAACTAGTTACACTGATACTTTAAAGTACGCGCCCGGTCTAAGGGTAGAAACTCGGAAAAAAGGTGTTAACTATTCTAAAGATAGAGACTGAGTAGTTTAGTGACGATGTTGTGGCGGAGGAAAGCTAGGGATGGGTGTGTCTGAGGCCACGAGATGAGCTGATTCGTTAAGGACAATTTTGGTTAGGAAAGCGAGGGCGATAGACATTGCTTTTGATTGGAGCACAAGAATCCTGGTGGACTAGAAAGGCTCTTAGCCGCCCTTGAGAGAAAGTTGCTAACTGAAAATACCGAATGTGAGAAAACAAACTTTGCCGCATCTTCTCATAGTAAACAAAAATGTAAAGAACACTGGAAATAGAAGATGCTTGTTTTTGGTCTGATGAACCTTAACTATGAAAATGCCAAGGATGCGTAGACATCTGGATGCCATCTTGCCCTCGGTGTGTGGCCTGATCACTGTTGTGCATTGAGATTTTTTTTTTATTTATTAAAATTTACAATCAATTCTCGCATTGAGAATTTTCAGTCATATTTTCTGGCGTGGCGCAGTGACATGGCTAAATATTTATAATAAGTTAATACTTATTATAGATAACTATAATTTATAAGTAAGTATTATAAATAAGTAAATATTAATTAATTTAGATAACTAATTAAGTGAATCTAACGTTTAGGTCTAGCGGGTAGTGCCTCTTCAGCCTGCGAATCTGGTCCGTCGTATCGAGTAGTCCAGTGATTAGGGGATTTCGGTGTTTGTTGACTCTTTCGCTATATCTGTCGCTATATTTTGCTCTTTCCTCTTTGACTGTGGGTATTTTGAGGTCGCGATGTATTGTTTCGTTGATAACATACCACGGTGCAACTGTTAAGGTTCTTAGCGGCGTTTTCGATTGGAAGCATTGAAGTATTTCAATGTTGGAGTTACTTGCTGTTCCCCATAGTTGAATTCCATAGGTCCAGACAGGTTTTAGTATGGCTTTATATAGCATTATTTTGCTGTGAGTGCTTAAGTTGGAGCGACGGCCAGTGAGCCAGTAAAATTTTTTAAGTTTAGCCTTGAGTTGCTTCGATTTGTCTATGATGCGTTGTTTCCATGTCAATCTCCTGTCCAGAGTCATGCCCAGATAACTGACTGAATCCTTGTTAGGAATTGTGATATTGTTAATGGTCACCCGAGGGCAGGTTTGTTTTCGCAGCGTGAAGATTACCTGTGTGGATTTATTTTCGTTAATTTTGAAGCCCCATTTGTGGAACCACTTTTCCATAGAGTGAAGGCCTCGCTGGAAAGTGTGGGATGCCATTATTGGGTCTGAGTGGGATGCTAGTAGTGCTGTGTTGTCAGTAAATGTCGCTGTTGTTATCTCTGCTAAGGTTGGTAAATCGGCAGTGTAGATGGAGAGTAGGATGGCAGTAGGGGTCCAAGTATACTGCCTTGGGGTATGCCGGCTTCTATTGGAAATGTAGCGGTTGTGGCGTCTAAGTATTTGACCATGAATTTTCTATTGGTTAGGTAGGATTTTAGGGTGGAGTAATATGTGTGTGGTAAGATTTTGTTCAGTTTGAAGAAAAGTCCTTCGTGCCACACTTTGTCGAATGCCTGTTGAATGTCTAGGAATACCGCAGAGCGGTATTTTTTCTTTTCTAGGTTTTGGCTTATATTGTGTGTTAAACGATGAATTTGTTCTATCGTAGAATATTGCTTCCGAAAACCGAATTGATGATCTAGCAGTGTTTTTAAATCCTCTATGAGTGGAAGGAATCGATTCGTGAACATTTTTTCGAATAGTTTTGACAAAGTGGGTAGAAGGCGAATTAGGCGGTAGGAGCTAGTTTCTTGTATTGATTTTCCGGCTTTAGGGATGAGAATTATCATTGATATTTTCCAGGGCTTCGGATAATATTCAAGACGAAGGATTGGATTGAAAATTGATGTGATGAGTGAAATCCCTTTTATGGGAAGTTTCTTGATTGTTTGATTACCTATTTGGTCATGCCCCGATGCTTTTCTGGGATTTAGGCGACGGATTAATTCTGTAACCTCTAAAGAAGTGAAAGGTTTAATAGGAGGAGACGGATTTGGAAGGGAGAGTGCAGATATTCCGTTATTTCCGGGGAAATATTGGAGGAATGAGGTTTAAATACGTTGGATAGATGTTTAGCGAACAGGTTGGCTTTTTCTTTAGGGCTACGTGCCCATCCGCCTCGCGGGCAGCGAATTGGAGGGGTCACGTAGTTGGCGATCGAAGAGTTGTGATGATAAAAAACAACCAAAAGAAAAGAAAGGTGCTAGTATTGCAAAGAGAGAAGCCAAACATAGAGGCAGACCGAGGAGATCGGATAAAGTTGAAGTTAAAAAAGATGAAGATACAAGAAAGATCTTACAAAATGAAAAGAGTGGATTAGAAGAATAAGGAAAAGTCGAAGAAAAACAAAAGAAGAAACTGCAGAGACAGAAGTCAGGCCAAAAAGTATATTAAATAATAAGTGCGATTTACTTGATACCGAAAAAGCTATTGACATTAATGATACTGTTCAAAATATTAAATTTACCGAAGGTAGAAGCCACACTGAAAATGATATGGAAGATGTAGTAGAAGATTCACAAGAATTATCTAATAAAAGTAAATTATCAAAAATAAGAATTGCACTTAACATAACTGAAGATACAAAAACTATTTTACAGAATGAAAAGAAATCATTAAAAGGAGGAAAAGAAGTATGAGAAAAGAAGAAAATGTACAGATTGAAATCACAAACCCTCATCGGTCAACATCTTTCAGATCGGTCGCGTAAACTGTGCTTATAAACTTGTGTTATTTAATAAAGTTCTATAGAAAAGAAACATAAAGTTGAGTTACGGCTCAACCTTCTTGTCTTTAAAACCTAAGCCTTAATTTTATTTGACAAATCCTTCGTCGCCTGTCAACTGTCTATGGTCTGTCCTCGTCCCAGTCTATTGTCTATACGCTGTCGATAGCTTCAGTGCTTGAGAAAACTAAAAAGACTAGATGTAGAGTTTTCTTAGAAGTGGTGACCAATTAAACAACAATTGACTGACACAGTGACGAATATAAAATTCTTCGGTTGACAAAATGATAACTAAATCTTCGGTAGACGAACGGTAATTAATTATTGACTTCTCTGAGTCGCTACATTTATTTATATCCGTCGGAGATGAAAAAACATCGGGGTCTCTCTTTTGGAAATTTTTCTGAACATCCCCAACGTTTGTTCAAACTGCCGACTTTTAAACTGTCAGTTTAAACCGACAGTTTTAAACTGTCTTAATATCGTTAAAAAACATAATTAGGTAAATATAAAGACATAGGTAAGTTTTCGCAAGATATAGATTTTAGCGGCTCTAACTATCTTTCACTTCAAATACTATAAACACGGTTTCAAATAAAAGGTTTTAAATTACCTTGATTCACATGATCTTTTTTTCCTAGTGAAGATCATCGGCAATTAAGACCAATTTCACTGATAACTCGTTGATATGGAAACTCGTAGAAAAAGATGTCCTGAACAACTTCGATTTCGAATTCGAAACAATAGGTCTTTTTAAATTAACGTGTGAGTCTATAGAATCATCAGAACTTTGCCACTTACTCGCTAGATTTATTTGCTTATTGGAAAACTTTATATCGTAAAAAATGGAATATATTAAGTCACTTACAATACAAGTATAACTAACTTAACTATACACAATTATTATAATTGAAAATCGAAGGAGAAAAACAGATAAATAAATTCTTGTTGATTTTGTGATTTTAATGTCACTTTACGATTAAACGATATGAAACGTCTGCAAAAAGGCGAAATATAGATTATTAATATGCACATTATACGATATGTTAATAATTAATAAGCTTTGCTATTGTAGCATATAGAGTTCATACCTATCGATTTTACTAAAAGAGTGAACAATTTTGAAAATCTCGAGTGATTCTTGAATTCGCCGATAAACGATTGTAATTATAATATACATTAATTGTCCATTAATTTGTCACTAATTTGCATATTTTAATAAAATTACTGTTACTACAAATCAGTCAAATTATCCCGGTACTTATGAGCGGCAGTATATATTTTCGCTTCGATTCACGATTGTGGGACCCTTTCCTGCGAATCGGCGTGTCGTCACGCGACGATGGGCAGATGAGCAACGTGTACCACGGTTCACTTATAGCCTGCGTGCATGCACGTTCTCAAACACTGCCAAACCTAACCCACACCTGTTGACCGGTCACACGGACGATCAACCATGCGAGATGCACCTGCCATTACATTTATAAGTTTTGTTTGTGTTTCCACGACGATGCCGCACCCTCCTTCACTTAGAAGACGCCCTAGAAGGTGAGACCCTCTTCCTTCTTTTCGAATCGCTGTACAATCCACCTCTCTGTCAGTGTTCGAATGCGCTTTGACCAGCGTGCTTTCTCAGTTCTGACGAAACGTCTGGAAACCGATTGAAGAATCGTTTGAATCGCTACTTTCTGCGTCTGAAACGAAAGTTCGGCCATCGAGTGTGGGTACTGTGAAGGTGGGAAAGTTAGCTTCAGTTTTTGAATACGGTGGTGTACAGGATTGGTGAGCAAGTGGTTGTAAGGGCACACGTGTTCGCGATGCTCTATACTGTGGGAAACTGTGACTGTGGCTTTTGACCGACCGTCACGTGTGAACTCGACGAACTTCCAACGAAACTGAGCGATTTCGAAAGGTAGAAATAGAAGGGTGACTCGTAGTTGAAATTCAGCGGTTACCTAATCACTTTCTCGTGATAATGATGATAATAGAAAGCTGTGGTCGGATCCCAGTGATCTTGAAAAAAATAAAATTCTGTCGACATTAAGGGCATCAATCAGATTGTGCGTGCGTATATAACTCGACTCGTGAGTATTAGATTAGATTTGGGTTATTCTTTACTTTCTCACAACATATAGATTCTCATCGACTGCATTTGTATATTAATGACTCATGAGTATGCTAAAAATTTATTCAATTATTCTTTTTGTTACTCGTACCTTATAACAGAGTGATTAAGGGGGTGTCCTGAATTGGAATGTTCTAAAGCAGCGTCGTTTTGTAATTTTTTTTAGAAGGGAAAGAAAGAAATAATGTTATTGAATTTTGAGGCATGCCTTTATATATATTTAACGAATACAAAAAAATTTTTTTAAAGTAAATAACGAATCCAATCCAATAGCTTTAAAATTAGTGTACTCACAGATTATAGTTTCTTATATTTAATTGCAATAATAGCATTGACTATTTTATGCTTTCTTGGGGCATACGAAAATTAGGTTGACGAAATAAAATAAATAAATGAAATAAAAAACATAAAATATAATAAAAAGAAATAAAGTAATATATGATAATATAAATAGAATAAAACAAAATAATTAACGAATCAATTTACAAATAGAAAGTTTTTACAAGCTTGTAAGTAACATTATGTCTAATTACATTTTAAACTGTTTACGGTATTATCGCTACTCGTATAACATTTTTAATTTCATCATTCAAAGAAATATGTTTACTGAAGTTGATGCAGAAAGTCGGTAGGCGCCACTTTCTAACCACCAGTATGTATCCAAGTTTTGCCTATGATTATATTGTTCAAGTCTGGGATTTCGTAATTAATAGTGTAAATTTACTCAGTAATTCTGTTGTATATCAAATTTTTTTATCTATTTCGTTTTTGATTACACGATGTCAATGGATCAAACATCTAGATTCGCGTCTAATATATTGTTCGAAATCCAATGCTCAAAAGGAAAAATCATTAGCACTTCCGTAATCCGGAAGGATAGCGGAAGCCCTCCGCGGTCCTTGCAAAAAGATCTGCCAAGTGCCGCCGAAAGGCGACAGTGCCTTACCATTTATATATGTGTTCTACCCTTATTTAATGAAGTGTTAAACGTCTCTCCTTTCATAC